TTTATACTCTAATGCAGCGTGAGCTCAGTAACCAACTACTTACTCCAACTACAAAACGTACACTCACCTAAGACTCCTGTATTTTGTTAGATGCAGTGTTTTTCCTAATGCACTTCCAAAATGTCATGCCTGGTTTTATCAAAGTACTGTTGCGGAAGTAACTCCTTTTAACTACTCCAGGTCAGGTCAGGGTAATCGAGATCATTCTTGCTACTGGTATCACGTAACCCAGTACCACCTGCCTCAAGCCCTGCTGCCTTGCAGAGTGTGCTCTTCTTATGCAAAGGCTAGGAGAAATAAACTCCGACTAAAAATTCCCCTGCCTTGGGGCTCTTGGTTGAGTAAAGGCTAGAGATGGTGTCTCGATAAAAACACTCATCTTGGGCAGATGTTAACTGCATCCAGCTAAACATCCCCTGCCTTGGGGCTCTTGGTTGAGTAAAGGCTAGAGATGGTGTCTCGATAAAAATACTCATCTTGGGCAGATGTTAACTGCATTCTGCTAATGTCTTGTAGAAGGCCTCCTAGGCAAAGACTTTAGGGGTAAGCAGAAAAATTCTGCTAACCAGCCTCGAACCCCTTCTTCATCTATTAGGCTGGCGTAGATGTAACCTGTGTTACATTGTTTCCTGCCTAGAATGATGAATGCTGGATCTCCTTGACTCTACTCATAGAATTTTGCTTATGCCTCCTTGATAATGGCTATGCAACTCTTCCTGTTATCTCCATATGAGGGTACAGCTCTAAAACTCAGTTTAATGGTTCTGAGGCCGGCTGGTAGTAAGGTTTCCCGAACTCTGTGGTAGCTCTCAGAGAGGCTGATTCCATCAACAGCTGCAAAATATCAGAGTATTAACAGTGCCATGTTGCGCATGGATGGTGTCCCTGTTAATGCTTTTGGTGTGCATTGTCAAGGCCACATAAGGAGCCCTATGTCACGGCTTAGGGTTAATTAACAGGACTGAGACAATTGCATAGCTCATTGATTAGGAGGCTGTGCTCTATCTATGAATGAGTCAAGTTCTCATTAAATCCAAATCATGACCAAAGTAACCAAAAATTTAAAACCAAAAAAACCATCCCCACCACCTAAATATTTTAATATATCTTTTACAAATATTCGCGGTCTACGAAGCAACTTTCCATCAGTTGAGTCTTACCTCCTGCAAAATTCACCAGACTTGCTTGCACTCAGTGAAACAAATTTAAATTCTGCAATTCCTTCTTCAGATGTCAGTGTTGATGGGTACTATCCTTTGATTCGTAAAGACTCCAATAGTCACATGCTAGGTTTAGGGGTATACATACGCATTAATTCCCCTATTTGTCGTGAAATCAGGTTCAAATCCTTTGACTATTCTTTTATGTGCTTTCGCCTAGCACCTCTTCACTCTACTACCTTTCTCTTTGTTCTTTATCGTTCTCCTTCTTCCCATGATTGCACTCTTTTAGATGTTATCTCTGATCAAATTGACCATACCCTCTCTCTTTACCCCTCTGCCAATATTGTTGTTGTTGGTGATTTTAATGCCCATCACACTGAATGGCTTGGCTCTAACACCACTGATCCTGCTGGCACTAAAGCCTTTAACTTCTGCGTTTCTCAATCTCTTACTCAGATAGTTAACTTTGTGACTCGTTTTCCTGACAACCCTAATCATTTACCTTCACTCCTTGACTTATGTCTTGTCTCTGACCCTAGCTTATGTTCTGTTTCTCCCTTTTCTCCCTTAGGTGGTTCTGACCATGCAATGATCTCTATAAATCTTTCTTCTCGTACTTCTTTTTTGGGCTCACCTTATCATCGCACCACCTACTACTACCCTAAAGCTGACTGGGATTCCTTTCGTGATTTTTTTCGTGATGGTCCTTGGGCTCATGTTTTTTCTTTCACAGCTGACAAATGCGCCTCCTACGTTACCTCCTGGATTCAGGCTGGAATGGAAACCTTTATTCCTTCTCGTCGGTTTCAAGTCAAGCCTCATTCTACTCCATGGTTTTCTCCTTCTTGTGCGGCTGCTATATCCAATCGTAATCATTTTTTTCATCTTTTTCAAAAGAACAACTCTCTTGAGAACAAACGGCTATTTATTATTGCAAGAAATCGATGTAAAAAGGTGCTTTCTGATGCTAAACTCCATTATTCTCAGTTCACTAAATCTCGCATCTTATCGCAGAAGTTAGGCTCTAAAGACTTTTGGAAAATCTTCAACAGCATTGTTAACAAGGGTAGATCTAACATTCCATCTCTCATTCATGGGACTGATCTTGTTTCCTCTCCCAGGGATAAGGCATAACTGTTTGCAAAGAACTTTTCTTCTAATTCCACTCTTGAATCTTATGGACATTCTCTTCCTTCCATTCCAGTCAAACAGGTTGACCCATTGTTAGACATTCAAATCACTCCGGCTTCTGTTGCTAAAATCATATCTCAACTAAACTCGTCTACAGCTTGTGGTCCAGACAACATTCCTGTCACAGTCTTGCAGAATTGTTCTCCAGAACTTTCTTCAATTCTCTCTAAACTATTTAACAAGTGTTTGACTGAGTCTTGTTTTCCTGCTTGTTGGAAAATGGCATCTGTAGTTCCAATATTCAAAAACTCTGGAGAAAATTCTGATCCCTCCAATTATCGTCCAATCAATCTTCTTTCTGTTATTAGCAAGGTCTTTGAGTCTTTGATCAACAAATTCCTCACATCTCATCTTAAGTCAAATAAACTGCTGTCAGACAATCAATACGGTTTTCGATCCTCTCGCTCTACGGCCGACTTGCTAACTGCTGTAACTGAAAGATTTTATCGTGCATTAGATGGAGGCGGTGAGGCTAGGGCTATTGCTCTCGACATATCTAAAGCTTTTGACAAAGTTTGGCATGCTGGTCTTCTCCATAAGCTTGCTTCATATGGTGTTTCTGGGAAAGTTTTTGAGATTATCAAATCATTTCTTTCTAACCGGTTTATTAAAGTCATCCTTGAAGGCCAACACTCTTCTTTATTTCCAGTAACTTCTGGGGTTCCCCAAGGTTCCATCCTGGGCCCTGTTTTGTTTCTTATCTACATAAACGATCTTCCTGACAACCTTTCATCTAAAGTAGCTCTTTTTGCTGATGACTCAACTTTATACTCCTGTCTTGACAAAAAGTCTTCTCTTTTCGATCGCCTAGAACAAGCAGCTGATCTTGAATCAGTATCTTGAAAGCTGATCTCACTTCAGTAATAGATTGGGGTTCACAGTGGCTTGTGAATTTCAACTTTAAAAAAACCCAATTGCTTACTGCAAACAACTACCGTAATATGGTCAACATTCCTATATTAATGAATGGCAATCCTCTTACTGAGTCGTCCTCTTTACGTCTTCTTGGATTATCGCTTACTACTGACCTTTCATGGAAACCATATATACAATCGATTGCTAAATTAGCTTTTGCTAAGGTTGCTTCTCTTTATCGTGCTCGCCATTTCCTTACTTCTGATTCCATTCTCTACCTCTACAAATCTCTTATTCGTCCCTGTATGGAATACTGTTGTCATATTTGGGCTGGTTCTTCTAACGATTCACTTTCTCTTCTTGACAAGGTCCAAAAACGCATTGTAAATGTTGTTGGACCTGGACTATCTGCTAAGCTTGAACCTCTTTCCCATCGTCGTAAAGTTGCATCTCTTTCTCTTTTCTACAAATACTATCATGGTCACTGCTCAAAGGAGCTATCATCTCTAGTTCCATCAACTAAAATTAATTCTCGTTTTACTCGTCATTCAGCTAAGTCTCATTCATTTACTGTATGTGTCCCTGCATGCTCTAAAAACTTTTATTCATCTAGTTTTTTTCCCCGCACTTCAATCCTTTGGAACTCTCTCCCATCTTCATGTTTTCCTGACTCATACAACCTTCAACTTTTCAAGTCTTCTGTCAACCGTTTCCTTGCTCTATAGTTCTGTTCTTTTTTTTTCCTAGTAACTCCCTACTTAATAGTGGTTGCTTGCAGCCTTGTTGGGAGTGAATGCAAATAAAAAAAAAATAAAAAAAAAACTGCTAAACAGCATTTTGCATTTAAACAATTGTTGCGACTCTATGACTAATAATTCAACCTTAAAACTTTCTGGAAATTTTTCCTGATATAAAGTATTATTTAAAAAAAAAAAAAAATACTGCTAAACTTTTCTAAGAAATAAAGTTTATATATGTAGTAAATAAAACTGGCATTTTTCTGTTCTGGCGTGATTCAGCTTCAAACTTTATTTATTCTTTGATAAAATTAATAATGTATATCATTCTTTGTTCACAAAGTGTTATTAGACTAGAATTTAATTAGAGTAAATTAAAGCTAGTTTTATTATTATGAAAATAATAGACAAACCATTTATGATTTACCGCGCGTGATTTTGAATTCAAATCATAAAAAAAAAAATTGATTTTACCGAACACTAAACATAAATTGATTTTACCGAACACTAAATATATCTTGAGAGCAATTCATTTTTTTTTTAATTTAATACTTTTTGCTGATGCAATATTTGTGATGATGTTGGTCGTGGTAAAACAATGATTTGATGTTGATCATGATAATAAATTTCAATTGACGTTTATTTTTTGTTTTTGTTAGCATTAATGCAATATATACCATTTTAGAAAGTTTCCATCTAAATTTCTTCTCAAACAAACCTCCATCTATGAAACAAACCAGTCAGCGGGTTTAATTCAAACAACAATACCTAAACAACTATAGTTAGTCACAATAAAACAATGATTGTTTTGATGTTGATCATGATATTAAATGTAATTTTAATGTGTTTATTTTAATTTTTGTAGTATTAATGCTTAATACCATCTATATTTCTTATCACATAAACCCTCATCTATAAATCTGTATTTAATATATCAGTCAGCGGGTTTAATTCAATCATTTACTATACGTAAATGAAACTTGAATAATAAATTAATAAAAATATATTATACGAAAATCATTCAAAATAATTTAATAAATCACAATAATAAAACTAGAAGGATAAAAATTATTTATCACATTGATTCGACACAAGATTTACAATCACTAAAACTTAAAATATATCACAGAGATTTATAACTAAAAAAGAATTAAATATACACTTTTGTGAATGTTATGAAATCCCTTTGACATATAGGACATTTATTATTTAATAGTGTGACACAACCATCGCATACACTAGTATGACCACAAGGAATAAACGCAATCCTGGTAGATAGATCGCCATAACAAACGCAACATTCCTAAGGATAATGAAAATGTTTATGAGAAAGAGTTTCTAAATTCTCTCAAATAAACATTTATTAATACATAAATAAGTTTAAAAACAAACAAACCCTTTCAACTTCATTTTTGTTTCCATCAACGTTATTTAATTTTTCTTTTTGCTCGGAATAAGCTACAACGAGACTTTTCTTTGAAGAGAGTTGAACACCGTTCATTGAGCTAAATGTTAAACCCAAAAAATAAATGACTCGCATTGATCTCTCAAGTGTAAGAAATCAAAACCTCTTAAAATTATTTAAACAAGGAATAAAAAAAAAATAAAAAAAAATATGCAACTGTTTTAAAAAATTATATGAGAAAAGTTTAAAACTCTACTAAAGTTAAAAATATTTAAAAAAATTTAATTAGAAGCTATTTATATTAGTTATATTATTATATTAGTTATACTATTTATATTATTATATTTAATTAGAAGCTATTTATTGAGCTTCAAAAATTCAATTATCCTGGCCATCAAATAAGAAATAGTAGTTTTTCACGGTACTTACAAATTATATCTTTAACTGTTTAAAGAAACAGTTAAAGATATAATTAAAAGAAACATTTCTAAAATACTACAATAAAATTACACATTTGCATAATGCGGTAGTAGTGTAGTGGTAGAGTGCTCGGATCATAAGCGAAGAGTTCCGAGTTCGATTCACAACACGTCCCTTGGTATAACCGCGGTCAAGTTGTTTCTTCGCGCCTTGTTCGTTAAAGTTTGTGTTTCAGAATTAAAAAGTTGGGAGAGAATTGAAACCACAAAAAGTAGCCTCCTCGACTGTTTTGGCCTTCTCGGCTTTGGGGAGGTGAATAACATTAAAAAAAAACATACACATTACATTTTACGTTCCAAACAAAAAATGACAAAACAAATATGATCCAATACCTTTTTTTAACGTTAAGTAATAATTTAAATACGTTTTTATAAATTATTTTTTAAATTATAATTAATTTACAGTCAAGATAAACAATTTATCAAAAAACGATTTTTATAAATACTTTTGTTTTCATTTTATTTTCAATTTTATTTTTACTCAAATTTATATACCTTTAAATTAGAACATTTAATTGTATATCAAGTATTTTTATTGCATTAGAAATAAATTAGGAATTTAATTTATTGTATTGTTTTGTATAGGAATTAAATTTATTGTATTGTATTAGTAATCCACTTAATGTATTTTTTTGAATACAATATATTTTCATAGCACTATTATTAGTATACTATTAAATAATCTAAAAATATACTTGTTTTATATAAAATATATATCAAAACACCGTTAAAAGTACCTGATTGCTTTGCTGGCTTCTTCATTCGTTTCATAAGATACAAATCCATATCCTTGACTATTACCATTGTTATATGTCATAACTTTTGCTGATATAATTTTTCCAAAAGGTGAAAAGAGTCTACGCAACCCATCGTTGTTCACATCGTCATCTAAATTTTCTACACGCAATTTAAAAAGTTTTTCATTTTTGCGACTTTTTTTTGAAGATTTAAGCTTTTGAACAGGTCTAGTAGACAGATCAAGTGAAGATCCCGATTTTTGGGAAGGCTTAGCCTGAAAAATTTATAAAATACAAAGTAATAATTTCGATTAAAAATTACTTAAAACGTGTGTAAATTTCTGCAATTATGATGTTAAAAGGGTGTCTGCACTGCATTAAAGTTTTTAACGAACAGAAAAATATCTAGAAAAACATTTATAGAACAGATAAATATTTTAAATCAAACTATATATCAACAAGAAAAATCAATTCATACGAGAAAGTACATTTACAACTTTTACTTGCTTCGTTTTTTTAAAAATTGACTTCTATGTAAACTAACTTAAGGTAAAAATAACATATATAGTCGATAATGTAGACAAAAACACGTTTCTTTTAAATATAACTATCATTATCTTTAACTTTTTTTACTTCTTAATTTCAAAAAGTCAAATTAAGTATGGAGATTTTAATCTTTTCTAAAATAATTACAACCATTAAAAAAAGAAGAAAATTGATGGAAAATAGTTAAATATATGATTACACAAAACTAATTGTTGAAAAAACATCTCACATCATTTTGATATTTAATGGAAACTAACTATGTACATACAAAAAATTCAATAGAATCCAATACAGCAAACAATGCGTTGAAAATAAAATAAAAAAGTAACAAATAAATCAACTTTAGAACTAATAAAACTAAATGTTTGAAAAATATAAAATTTCTCAAAATATTTACTGCTAACACAAATATACTTTAGTTATAACAAAATAACACTATTCTTATCCAAACCCCATATTCAAACCCTAACCAGGATTATGACGTTGTCACTGGTTTCAAAAATATTTTCAGAAGTTTGAACAATTAATAAAACTATTTTCAGATAACACAAGATTAAAAAATAATCTTGTGTTATCTGAAAATAATTTCTAAAAATAATCCAAATCAGTTAAACCTTATTCCTTGAATCAGGAATAGAATCCTTAGCCTCACTCTTGGATTTCCCAAATTCAACACAAAGCTGTTTAGACATGTACATGAAACCATTCATTTTTCTAAAAAAGATTGTAAAGAAAAAAGGAGCTCAAATATAACTAAAATTGTTATTCATCGTCATCATCATCATCATCATCATCATCATCATCATCATCATCATCATCATCATCATCATCATCATCATCATCATCATCATCATCATCATCATCATCATCATCATCATCATCATCATCATCATCATCATCATCATCATCATCATCATCATCATCGTCATCATCATCATCATCATCAGTATATGGTTCTCTTTCGTTATTGCAACAAGGTCATCGGCTCACAGGATTTTAGATTATTGCTGTGCCGCTTGGTATTTTTAATTTTTTTTTTTTAGTATTACCAATAAGAAAAATCTAAAAATTTTAGATATGTCATTTTTGGAAAAAAATATTCAGAAAAAACTGTAAATATAAGAGCTGCTTTAAAAAATGCGTTGCATTACCGAATGCATCGAAAAAGAGGGTTTATGCATGGGGATTATAAAAATGACATGTGGGTATGATTTTTTTAATCATTTTCTTCAAATCAAGCTATAAACTAAATAAATCCACATTTCTAAATTTTGACATTTTTCATATCATCGTGGCGTTTTTAAGTTTCTGAGTTCAAGTAAACTTTATATAATATATTAGTTAACAAATCTCGTACTTGGGTTTTCAAAAAAAAACGTTTAACAAAATTTTTTTATATACGTTTTTAAGAGAATTTTTTTTGCTGGATATAATATTTACTAAATCAAATGTCTAAAAAGTATAAACTTTGCTTTTAAAACGTAAAAGATTTTTTGGAAATTTGGTTTTAACTGTGAGGTGTTGCATTACCGAAACTACTCAGGTTGCATTACCGAACTTTCTGGTTTTCGCTTATAAATGAATTTAAAAGGTCTATTTTGCAATCATTTTTAAATTACTATTTTAAGATAAAACTTATTTACTCTCTTTTATCCAAAAAATAAAATTGATGCAAATAATAATTGTAAAATCGAACGGAAATTATTCAAAGTCTCAGAGGCGTGTTATAGGACTTTCAGGGTAAAGAAACGGACAATCAATTAAAACAGGGGAAATTTTTTATTACAGAATATAAAACTATATATTGAACGTTTATGTAAATAAATTTTAAATAAATAAATAAAGCTTTTAATACAACATTTATAGTTAACAAATGCGCTCATTTTGAATACATAAATAACACTATTTTTGATTATTTTAAAACAAAAACAACAATCTTCTGACATCTTTCTTTAAATCAAAGTAAAAAATTTTTCAAGTATTTTTAAACTAATTTTGACTTTATGAAAAAAATACACACAGCAAATTGTTGTTTTAAACAATCTTCCCAGCAAAAATTTTACAGCGGAATTTTAGAAGACTTTTATAGGCATTTTGAGAGTTTCCCACTTTTTTTCCACTGTGAAAAGGTTCATTGGTTACATAGTGGACCACAATTGGCAGTCGTCATCATAGCTAGCCAACAACTAGCTTTTATATTACATGTTGAAGAGTTATTGGCTAGCCACTTTTAGCGAATCCCTTAAGAAACCTATGAGCAAAACTCTAATTAACTGCTCAAAATGCTTATATAGGTCCATTGCAAATCTACTATAAAATAATTGCTGGGTTAATAAAATTATAATTGGGTATCATTTTCACAGATTTTTATAAAAACACAGTTTTTCATAACTTGTTCATATATAAAAGTTCAAAAGTGTTTCATTAATTAAGTTCATAGCCTTAACCAGAGAGACTGATATTATCCTATTTAGTAAAGTAGTGGGTTTTGATAACTGTTTTATTATTTTTAAAAAAATTGTATATACCAATTAAAAAATAATAATAATTATTATCATTAAGTACATATCTTATTTAAGTTAATTGATCATAAGTTTGAGAATCATAGTTTTTTGCATAGATGCTTTTAAATGCAAAGGAAAATTACCATTTTAATGTGGTCTTGTCGACGACACCCTCTAACACAAATTTTTGAAAACTTTACTTTGCAGCAATTTTATTGATTAAAACTAAATTTTTAAAAATCCTGATAACATTTTTTTATTGCAAAATTTATATAAATTAAACAGAAGAGAATGGACACTAGATTTCGTAAGGTACAAACTTATATATAAATAAACACACCATTACATCAAAAATGAAAGTTAACTTAATCTTTGATCAATTCTATGCAGAACTTCTTAGCCTAGCAAAAAGAAACAATCTTAACAATTTGTATGCTATAAAAAAAAGTTTTTTAAGCGGTTTAGTTTCGTTGTACAGATTTTGAGGACAAGGAATGTCAACACCGTATTTGCCCAAGAGAAACTGAGACTTAGTGCAAATATCATTTAGAGAAAGTTCATGGTGAAAATACTTATGCAGAGCAAGTGAATATTTTTGCTACATACGCTTCAGTCTTTAACATTTTGAAACAAACTTTTACTGATTTATCCTTAGATGATTTACTAAAACACCAACGAGACACTGAACCAGATTATTTGGAGACACTGCCTAAAACGTATTTTTGTGAGTAGAAGGGTCTTTGAGTCTGCAGTTAATTCGTCTGAGATTGAATTTTATGAAGGTCCAAATGGAATCTTATTTGTACTTAATAAATTTTAACTAACAGGATATGTAACGTCTTTGAAACTTAATGATAAGAATAAAGAAGCTATGAAGCGGTCTTTTCAATAGTCCACTGAACGTGTTAAAAAGAGAAAAAAATAGCTAAAAACAATTAAAAAGACTTAGTTAGACAAAGATGATAAAGAAAGACTTAGTTAGACAAAGGTAATAAAGCAATTGATAAAGAAAAAACTCAAAATATATTCCTGGAGGGTTTTAATATGTTTATATGAACTTTTTATTATGGTTTTATTCTTTTCTTTTATATATTTGTTGTTTCCTCAAAACTAAGTTTTGCCTCGAATACAAATCTTTAAAATATGATTAACTTTAAACTCGTTTAAGCTTTGATCTAATTTTTTTTTGCGATTTTTTACATAATTAAAAAGGATGCGAGTGATTGAAGGATATTCAAAACAAAATAAGGGAAGTACTTTTTTATGAGAAAAAATGCTGGAGGAATGTTCAGCAATTTTTTTATGTTTGTTTCAAATGTTGTAACCTTTTATATATTATAAATAATAAAAAATGCTTAACTTATCTAGATTAATATACCTCATTAGTATATAAACCAATTTTCAGCTTGATATGATAAATATTTTGATCACAAAAATTGCTAGTTTTTCACTCTTATTTTAAATAACTGGGTAATCTAGACATTTTTTTAAAGTTGATTCTTTAAAATAGTTTATAGAACAAGATTTTTAGTGAAAAATATAAATCAAAAAAGTTTTTCTATTAAAAGTTTTCCTTTTCTGTGGAGGACCACCTTAAGCTTAAAAAAATTTAAAATTTATTAAAAATATATACTTCAAAACAACAATTTTTACCAAAATAAAAGCTAAAAATAAAATAAAAGCTGTTTATTTACAGTTTTAACAATTGAATAATGTTATTTAGAATTGAGTAGTATTATTTGGAAAAAGTGCCTTAAAAGTGTAATTGTGTCAAAGAAAGTATTAGAACTAAGTGAATTTTTATCAAAAAAATAAATTTAATAATGGATTTATTAGAATGGAATCTGTTTTTGGGCACGCTATAAAATTTTGACCTACAAGACCCAGTTTAAACAAAGTTAAGTTGTACTAGAAATGAGATTATTTATTTAATGCTCTTATCATCTTGAGACGAACGTTTTTTGTTTTTATTAAAATTGATGCACATTTCTTTATATATTAAACATTAAAACGGCGCTATCTGGAAATTTGAATAGATTACAAAATATTAATGCACTTTCAACGGCCATCTCACCAAGTCCAAAAAATTAAAAGAATATCCATAGTTTTTATAGATAGGGGAAGACAAAGCAAGATATCGAACACTTTAAAAATCATGGGTTATTGCAAACCTTAGACCAATGAAGCAGTAATATTTTATCAGTATGCTTGTTTTATCATAATGATTCGTTGCTTCTATAAGTTTTGAGTTTGCAATTAAAAAAATTGGCCATTAGTCATTGGAGCACGATAATAGAGCAAAATAAATTTGCGTAAAAAAAAAACTACAAAATTACACCCATAAAATACCACACATTGGCATTTACCCTAAAACAATTTTATCTTTTAAGCGTGAAAAATAAAAACTTATGAGTGAATAAATACTTGAATAATATTTAAAAAAACAAAAACTTGTATTTTAAAACACAAGCTATATATACAGATTTGTTTCTACTCAATTATAAATTTCTAACCCATTTCGTTATATTCTTTATTTTTTTCAAAACTATTTTTTGTATAACTGACAGATTTTTAATGGTACCATACTTAATGATACGAAGCATATTATGAGAACCTTTTGTATGCTTCCAAGTAAATTTAATTTAGTCTTTAAAATTCCTGGACCTAATAATAGAGCAATTTTTTTAAATGTAAATCAATTTTTTGTCAAAAGCCAATTTCTTAAAAATTTTGTTTTATTAGGATGTTCTCAGAAGTTCTAACCATCTTATCATCTTATCCTAACCGTCTTATCATTGTCTTTAGCATCGTTAAGGACTTCTGATGATGAGACAGTTGTTAGTTGAAAAGTTTTTACCATCAATATCACTATATCAAACAAAACTAAAAAAGAAAAACTCTAGATCTAAAGATAAATCAATTAAGTGATAATGATTGCTAATTAATTCCGCTCTACTTTATCTATCTATCTATCTATATATCTATCTATCTATCTATCTATCTATCTATCTATATATATATATATATATATATATATATATATATATATATATATATATATATATATATATATATATATATATATATATATATATATATATATATATATATATATATATATATATATATATATACTTTAAAAAAAAATAATTTTAAATGCAACTAACATTCAACTTAAAGCTGACAATCCAACAATTGTAGATTGCATGA